CGATTAAAATATATCTTCTTTTAAATTCTCTGAAATGATGACGAAGATAGAAGTCTTAAATTGATTCTTCTAATTACAGCCAAAATGATAGATATATCGTGTAAAGAAGTTCCGTAATTACCTTGTAGTCCCGTCATAAAGGACTATTTCTTACTTGCAGTCAAATTGCATAGGCTATAGTTTACCCCACTCTGTTTATCATTAAGCATTAACATTATTTAAATTGTACACATAAAATGAACTGTAGTCAAACTCAGTTATCAATATTGTTAAATCAATATCTTTATAGATTCTAAAAAAGTACAACTTTGTATTTGGCGTATTCGACTGATTCATTTCGTTGACTACGAATTTCCTTGAGTATCATTTTCATTCGACTAGTTCGTAAAATAGACTTCGTTGACAACGAAAATTAACAGAGTCCGTTAATCGGCGTTAAGTTATTCACGTGACCAAAACAAACATGACCGATTGTTGAGTTTAGAAACAACATTTGCGTTAATATACAGTAAATTAGAATAAATTTCAGAAAATAAAAATTATAATAGGCCTACTGATATTTACCCACATGAAGTCAAACAATAATGGTAGGCTAACAGAATTCAAAAACTGGATGAAAATATTTTTCTTTTACGAAAAACCCATACTGCCACAAGCCGAAGCAACCTTGATTTCGCAGCGTGTATCGCGGTAACTATGCAGCCATTTTGTTTTCTCAAGTATTTACAAGTTTTCTATTCGACTGGTCATCTTCGTTAAGTAGGATTTTACCGCTGCGCTGGTTGGCCTTGTTTAACGAAGAACGACCAGTCGAATACGGCCATACATTTATTTACAAAGATCCACTTAGATACGGTAGTAATTTATTTTACTTTTTGGCAATCCTGTCGGCTTGGCTACTATTTTACAAATGTTATTGTCTTTTCGTATATGTTTATAAACAAGGCGAAATAAATGAAATGAAAAATGAAAAGAAATAATCAATGGTTCCGAGAATGTATAGCGAGAAATAGGCCACCAGACAATTATACAAATAGGCTTAATGTACACTATAATTTGTCAGCTTTCGTTTCGTTTAGTTTTTAACAGTTTGATACATATTTCTGTTGAAAATGTCTCCAAAAAGCCAATTAGAATGTAGAGGTTTTAATTATGAGATAAATATGAGCACATAATAACATGTTGTACGCATGCCTAAGGCAATCAAGTGTAGTCAAAATGTTTGTGACGGAGCTGAAAGCTTTCAATATTGGTTATATTAACATAATCTTTTGAGTCTTATTGTTTAAATATCGATTTTTGGTAAAAGTACATTCATGAGACATAACATAATAATAACAAACACTTGAACATAAAATACTTTATGAGTTGAATATACTAAATAATGAATAATTAACTTGAGTCTGGATACTGAAAAATAATATGCCTAATAATAAAAAGTTTTTATTCTCATATTAAATTCTTAAAATTTATGAAAAACGTCATGTGGTACCAATAATAGGCGTAATAGAAGCATACCGTATTCGTCAACTATTCTCATATTAAATTCTTAAAATTTATGAAAAACGTCATGTGGTACCGGACCGTACCAATAATAGGCGTAATAGAAGCATACCGTATTCGTCAACAATAATACCAACAACTTTTATATTTAAGCCTATTTATTAGTATATTTCCATTCTTATCCAAACATATCATCACGATTAGTAATGGAAGCGACGTATTCTACAGTTATGTCTATTTATTAAACCTAATATCTGGATGACGGAATCATATACACTTTTGATCAACAAATTTGTATTAGATACTTATCAGGGTAAAAAATACACCAGCTGTTGCTTTATCAAACTAATAACTGATAATGTAGACACAATGTATAACGATCATGAAAGACATAGGCCTAAATGGCTATTGTATCTGAATAGGTGTGCTATGTTGTTTCATCAATATTGAATCTGAAAAAAAGGATGGAACATCCATAACATGAACTTCTGTTCGAGTTATATTCTTTATCTTAGTGAGTCTTTATGCAATGTAGATTGTTGGTGTATTGAAAGTTACAAATAATAGAGTCCTAGGGTTAGCATATAGGTTTAATTATAGGATTCGTTGACAACAACAGAATATTAATGAATTGTTGTTTGTAAGACCATCGGCGAGCAAGTCGAGTGTCGTAGTCAAACACTTAAACCGACTTGACGGATTCTAGTGTTGTTAACATGACTAAAGCTCTCAAGTTTGTAGGATAGGGAAAAACAATAGTCCAAGCCTACCTTCAGGAAACAGGGCCCTCATCTTTAGATAACTGGTAGATAGACGGATAATCGATGCCTTATCAAGTTGTGTTGTAATCGCAGACGGCAGCGGTAATAACTTGGCCAGTTCCAGAAACTCCGCGTTCTCCTTCTCTCGTCGCGTCCGAGCGGCGTTTTTTGATTTTTCCTTCATGTCCTCCACTCTGTAAATTAAAATCCCAATAGTTTGATGGTCTGTAGACTTCCATTGTGGAAGTTTATTATGAAAATGAGGTACAACAGGCCCAATGTCCAGCATACTTCGACTGGTCACCAAGGGGGTTCGACAGAGACGTGCCTTGGCCGAGTAACTCTCTTTTGATTTCTACACAATCCACATGCAACCAAAAGGAAAATACTCAATATTTGTGACCAAAAGTAATAGCAAATATGTCTCTTTAATCACGTAGCAAGGAAATAACGATTGACCACAAGCTATGAGTGGTCAAGTGGAGGGAAAACAATGACCATAGGGTAAGACGCAGCAGCTACAACTTTCAGAATAGATTACATGGGTACCATTCAATAGGTCGATTGCCACTGGCTAACTAGCTTTGAGAGAGATGAACACACATCTACTGGACATCGCCTTAAACTTATATAGGCCTACTTAATATAAACTTATTTTTATTACAAAACACATTGGTATAATTTAAACATTGTTTATAGCACTGTAATATAATTTCGTCAAATACCGGTAGGACATAAGGCCTCTTATTTAAACTCCAAGTTATTTAAAAAAAATTAAAGAATAAAAATGTCTCATTGGTAAAAATATATTCGATAGTAATAATAATAATAATAATAATAATAATAATAATAATAATAATAATAATAATATTAATATAAATTAACTATTCGGATGCAACCATTTAATTTACACACTGCACTTAAAAGTTACATAAGAAAAAAAAAATTGAGATATATTTTCTTCAGACATACAGAAATAATAAAAAATAATAATCAGGATAAAAATTACAAAGGTACCACCAAACCAAAACAATTAAATACAAACAATTAAGTAGGCATTCAATACTGCGATATAATTCCATCGGCGGTTCGGTAAACTTTGGATAAAACCAGAATAAATGTAATGTAAACCAATAGGCCTAAATACCAGCCAGTCAAATCCATAGAGTCGTTAGAAAGATTTTTCTCCTTGTAGGCTTATGTGCTTACCTCTACCGGGTTCAAAGGAAACCACAAGAGGCTAGAAAAACACTAAGTCCACAGGCTAAACGCTGTCTCGTCTCCGGCAGCTACAGTTAAATTATCCTTTGCGAGAAGAACTCAATAACCGCTCCATGCAGAAAAATAGGTTTATGCTCAACACCCGGCACAGGTTATTAGGCCTACATATATCATTGTCTCGCGAGCCCGCTTATAGTACAATAAATAAAGTGAACAGTTTAGTGTCAGGTAATTGACTATATTAATTTCCTAAATTTCCAGCTTGAGATATTCATGTACAGCCAAAGAGGATACCAGATACGCATATGCAATCGACATATCCACTGTCTTTTTGCATATTCTTCTTCTGATCGTCTTCGCTTGTCTTTAATGTTTACATTGGATTCCTTACTCACTCACTCGGCGATTGTGTTTACTCACACGAGGCACTGGTCGTTTTTGCCAGTGTTTTTCGGTCATTAGTAACTCTATTATATATGGGTTGCAGACAACACACACTGAATATAATAACGCTCATTATATTTTTATTCAAATAATTCTAGAACGAAACGAATTCTGTAGGTTGCTTGAAGGACTTAAAACTACAACATGTTAAAGAAAATGTTCATGAATAGACCTATACAAATAACCATAATTTTTTTGTGAGTTCATGTTTGGACAATGATAATGAGATTTGAAAAAGTCGCCAATGCGGCAGAATGATTGACAAGATATATATTTGCTTACCGAATTATACATTTCATCCCAACAAAATAATCAATGAGCAGCATGTAGTTTTGTAATAGATATTTGATAATTTATGAAGACTTGCGTAAGATAATGTAACTAGGCCTATTAACAATAGGCCTATTAGATGCATTGGTTATTATAATTATTAAACATTTATTAAAATTGTTATTTTAAAAACTGACAGTATAAATAAATGATCATGGCATGATGTTTTATATTTTATTATATCATGATGCCTAGTATAATATAATATTTATTGGTTATAATAATTTTCCAGTAATTTTGCACCAAATATATATATATATATATATTTATAC